CTGTTTTTTAATTGAATTCATTTCAAACAATTAATTGAGAACTTAATTGAATGAGAGTTTGAATGAAAAATTTCCGCCCTTTCTATTCACTGAATGTCTATTTATATGTTGAATGCAATCACATATACATATTGTAATGTGTATATTGTAATTGTATTTTCTCTTTCAATACGATTTTTATTTCCATAATTTTCTCTCATTGTGTATACGAAACAGATTTCCGTTATTATTATTTTAATATAATTATCGCTCAAAACGTGGTGTGAAATAGTGTTACCATTTCCTTAACTCTTTGCCAGTACTCCGAAGACAATCAAACGGACGGTCCGTCTCAACAGATCGACAAATTAAAAGAAATCCATGAGTTGTCGATCCAAACGCCCGGTCGTGTCAAAGAAAGGGCGCAAAAGATCGATAAAATGGCATCGCTTACGGAACTGAAGCCTCCGATGCCATCGACAACAACTGCGGCCACACTTAACAACACGCGCCCGAAGTCGAGGTCCGGAAATCTTAGGGACAGTGAAGAGACGGATTCGGGTTCAGTGCAGACTTTGGACCCTTTGCGCAGAAAATGGATAATTTCTGCCTCTAATTGTGATTACAATTCACTGGTTTTGTGTCTAAAAGAAGATCCAAAACTGTGCGCATATAAGGACTTTACCAATGGTTACACAGCTCTGCATTGGGCGGCGAAGTTCGCTAAACCGGATGTCGTGAAACTGATTGCCGGCACTTATGGCGTCAACCCTAACATGAAATCTCACGGCGGATACACTCCTCTCCATTTGGCAGCTATTAATAGCAACGATAACATTATGGAACTTCTTATTCACACATACCGTAAGTGACATATATTTGATGTTATGTTTAAAACTTGATTAATAATGTTTGACTGTTTACTACACCATCAGAAGCGGACCCAAACATACGGGACAACAGTGGCAAACGCCCGGCGCAGTACTTGGTTCTCAAAAATAGCCACAAAAACTCGTTGGGAAAGCATTCAAATGGTGTGATTGCGAGTCAACGTAAGAGACAACTTACTAACGAAACCAACATTTCTTCTCAAATCTCTTCCAAACCTATCATTACTTCTAATAACTTTGGACCGAATGTTCGGCAAAAGGTTTTCTATAACTCTTTGCTCATTAAGAGTAAACATAAACGCAGACCAAAGACATTGTTTAATGAGTTTTAATGTTTGCTAACAATTTATTGCATGTTTTTTACTTAAAATTTTATATTTATTTTCATTAATCAAATAAACTGTTTTTATATCATTTCTTTCGGTGTTTTTATGGTATGTTTTATGTTATTTTGAACTAATTTTATACATATTTATAGCGATCAATAATTCCGGTCCGACTTCTATTCCCAAATCGATTACAGGTTTGTTTAAAAATTAATTTTAGTTTTTGAATAATAAAATAATAATTTGTTGTATTATTAGCGCGAATCGCGTCGGAGTCCTCGCATTCAAACTTCATACGAATCGGTAGTTTGAAAGCTGTTAATAAAGTCAAACGAATGACAGGAATTGGGCACAAAAGTTGGGGTTCTGTCGAAAGCATTCCCGAAAATGTAAGTTATTGTCATCAGTAGTGTTGACATAAAGATTAATCATTTAATTTGAATGCATTTCAGGGAAACGTAACCAAAAAATCCAAGA